TTCTGCGGGTGTGATAGAGTTTCTTGAGTTTGACCGAAGTTAATCTCTCCGAATTTTATCTTTGGTTCGATGTAGGGCTGCAAATGAGCCAAGCCGCTCGCGAGCAACTCGGCGTTCAAATCGGAAAAATCTCGTTCGACACTCGACTCGTTGTTTAACAAGCCAAGCTTGAGCTAGGCCATGCTAGGCTTGATAAGCTCGTGAGCTAGCTTGACTCGGTGGCTTGTTGAGCTAAGCTCGCGAGCTGGCTTGTTTAAAGCTTGTGGAAGAATTAATTACTCTTCTCAACATGAAAATCATCTTGTTAATAAGGTTGTGTATGGAAGTTAGATGTTATTTTTAGTTTCTAGTGTTCTTATTATCGTTCTTAATTTCTAATGTTCTTATTTGTACACATTTTCAGCAAGAATGGTTTCAAATTGAGCTTATCTTGAGCCGAGCTTGTACTCAGCTTGACAAGCTGTGTTAATGAGCATTTACCGAGCTCTATCGAGCCGAGCTCGAGCTGGATGATCAAATTCAAGTTTGAGCAGAGCTCGAGCTAAAGAATTTATAAACGAGCCGAGCTCAAGCTAAACAAAAACTCTACTCGACTCGTTTGCAGGGTTGGGTCAATGGTGTCCTGGAGCAGCCAACATGTATGAGGTTTAAAGCCCTGCTATTTCTTATGAGCTTGCATGCTTCCAGCTCATTCATTACTCATGATTTTGTGAAAGTAGGTTCGAATAACTTAATGGCATGGTTTGGTGAGTAAATGAGCATAATTAGTAAATCCTTTTTTGGTATCCTCAGTGCCAAAATTGGGAAGAATCCGACAGACATTTTCCTGATTTCTGGAAGTCCATGGCTCCTTGGTTTTGAGAACTAGTCATCTAGGAACCATAAGATAAGTAATCCAGACCTCGGCTGATCTTTAGGCATAAGGCATCACGAATAGTTGGCTCTTCAGAAATCGCCGAGGGAAAATACAGAAATCGTCAAGGGGCAATTCGGAAATCGCCGAGGGAAATTCAGGATCACCGATTGCACAGTCTAGCTCATGACAAATAATTTTCTATTCACAAGCAATAAAGGGAAAGATACCATTGCCCATCTCATATCATTCAACCAAATAATAACATTGATCGCCCATCCTGGGCTAGGAATAGATGTATGAGCATAAGGCTCTTTTCATACTCCATTAAAGGAAGAGCGAGGAGCTGGGCTAGATATTTTGAGGGTGACACCTTCGCTACATGGGATAAACTCTCGCAACCCTTTATTGAAGAGTAGTCGACGATTCCTCATATCCCTTCCCACAAGACCTCGTACGACTAACCTCCAACTTTAGAGTTAAAGCCTCTCTTGACGCATTTAGAGTATGCTTACCTAGCGAAAGGCGAGAAACTACCGGTTAGAATCAAGTCCTCCTTGACGCCTGAGCAGAAATAACTCCTAATAACCCTTTGTAACTAAGCATAAGAGATCCATTGCGTGGGAAATCACCAACATCCAAGGGATAAATCCCTCCTTCTGCATGCATAAAATGCGAGTGGATTATGAATATAGACAGGTTGTGCAGCCTCAAAGACGTATGTACCCTCACTTGAAAGAGATGGTGAAGAAAGAAGTTCTCAAACTTCTCGATGCAACCATAATTTATCCTATCTTAAATAGTCCCTTGGTAATCTGTGAGAGACACGGAGACAGAGGCCGAGTCGGCCTAGGGAGGGTAATTGGGTGATAACATTGTATTTGTACATGTTTTTACCCCTCATTCTTTGATTGTTTAGCTTGATTTTTATCATAATTTGACCTATTTTACGCTAGGTTGTGTTCCTTTGTCACATTTCACGTCCTAGCACATAAAGTGAAGCGTAGGCGTAAGTTTCAAGTCAATCGGAGATCATTTGGCAATTCGGGAGAAGAAACTCGAGCATGACCTCAGGAAGAATGGATTTCTACCTCATATTATGGACAAAGAATCATGGAAGCTTATCATGAAAAGAAAGAGGACGAGACTACGAGCTTCTGGGATCAAATGACGACTGATTCGGAGTCCATACGAGGGAGAAACGAAGCATCAAACAGTAGCGGAGGAAGAAATACGAGCAGGAGAAATACGACCGTATTTTTCCCTCCCGTGGCCGTATTTTTAGTGCCAAGAAGAAACACGGGCTGGGCTAAAGCACGGGTTGCGAAACACGACCGTGTTTCTGCCCCCTGCTTGGGTATAAGTCTGTTTTCTGCGATTTTGAGAGGGAGAGCGGGGTTTTGGAACCCAAACACCCAAGGGACAAACCCTTGAGAGAGAGCGACTTGGGAACATTCTTGGAGCTATTTTGGAGGATTTCTTCCACATTGGAGCTCGAGAATCAAGCTTGGAGATGGAGATTGAAGATCTAGATCAGATATCTACAGTCTCTCTCTTCTCTATGGAGTAACTTTCCTTCACATAGGTTTTGAGGAACTCTAGTTCCACGTGTTAGGATCTTTCTTGTGTGAAGTTTTGGATGCTATATTTTGTGATTATAATCGATTGAGGCATGATTTATTGAGTCAATTGAATCCTGGTCAAATTCTCTTGATTTCTGCTTTAAACTATGATAGATAGAATCTGATTAGGTTAAGAGAGCTTCCTTGATTGATAGTAGTGAATTGGTTGTGCGAGAATCAGTCAATTCACTGCTTTGTACTGGAATTCATTCCAGTAGTGGAGATCTGTGTGAATCGCTTTAGCAGTCTATCCCGGTGAAGGCTAGTCGCTTGCCGGGTATTCTGTCTAAGAGGGCTTGGTCAGCTTAAGAGATTCCAAGCTAATTTAGGATCTTCCGCAGTTTAATCAACAGTAGATCAACCAAAGGTAATTGCAACTTGGACCTAATTGAGGAGCTAGGGGGAATCATACCTAAGTGAGTTCCCAACTTGTAATTAGTAGAGTAGTTAGTAGAGTAGTTTAGTAAATCAATCCTTAATCTAGTTTGCTAGATAATGAACTGAAGCTGAGTAATAGTAACTCTAGAGACCCGTGGATTCGATATTTATCACTTGAGCCACTATACTGCAGTCCCTTTCATTGGTTACACTTGGTCATTGTTAGGTGTTGTGTCATAGCGTGTCATACATCAAATCGATCGAATTCGCGGCCACGCCTTCCCACAGCTTACCAACATGGTACTTCTAGAAATTCTCTTGGAACTTTTCCCTTTCATTTCCATTCACACCATTAAAAATCCCAACAATCCCCCACATGAATGGAGAATGTTGTATTTTAAAACTATGCAAAAAAACTCGTGTGATTCTCGACTAAGAATTAGTTGCATCGGGATAGATTGTTCATATGCTCGTACACTGGTTCGAGCTCTTAGTCGGATGGAATCTTTCACGAGTGGGTGACAACCGAGACAAAACACCTTATTTGATCTATGTTTTTTTTTTCTTTTTGGACTTGTTTTTGTTTATTTACTTTGGAATGTTTTTTTTTTCTCTTCTTTTGTAGCTAGCTTGCTCTAGCAGTGGTTAAGTTCAGGGGCGGATCCAAGGGACTTTGGGGCAATCCCGTGACACCCCTAAATTTTAGAAAAAAGATTATCCAACACTAGTTGTATTTATGTATGCACAAACAAATTATAACTGATAGTGAGGGATGTCATTGAAATTTGAAAAAATAATTATTCTACTCTCATTTTTTAGTTTGCGTATGAGAATATAAGTGTTAGTTTGGATAATTAAAACCTAGAACACTAGTATTATTAATAAACACAATTTCCATTACGCTACAACTCAATTGTTAATTTGATTTTAAAATTTGTGTAATAGTAAAATGCCATTTTCTATCTCTAATCATTTTCAAAACCTAACAATAAAACTAATTTCAAGCTACCCTTAATTTGTATTGATTTTATGGTTATATGAAAAATTTTGAAAGAGTCTTTTCATCTTTGGGTTATATCAAGAACAAGTTTAGAATTCGAATTTGCGATCAGTTCGTGAATGATTGTCTAATATGATATACGAGACAATTCTTTTAAGCAGTGTAGACACCAAGTGTATTCTAGAATTATTTCAGGATATGAAAATACATCGTTGACTTTTTTTAACTTGTACGAGTTAGGTATATTCTTATTTAAGAATTATTTTATTTTTATTTATTTTATTTTTTAAAAGAGGACACCCCTATGTAAAATTTCTGCGTCGGCCATTGGTTGAGTTGCTAGCGTGTAACATCCCGAACCTTTTCTCGATGAAGATATTGTCTGCTTTAGACCTACACTCTCACGATTTTCGACTTGGGGTGCATATCAATGTGTTTTTTCATAAGGTCACCCAAAAATGCGTCTCGTTAGTTAAGATCAATTTCTTACTTATAAACCATTGATCTCTCTCGTGTTTTGTCGATGTGTGATTCGCCTAATGTGTTATATAGCATTTAATTTTCTAATAATTTTTTTCATTATTCATGAAAAAACCTCTTTTTTCAGAACCGGACCGGAGGCTGAACCGGAAAAGTTAGTGGTTTAGGGTTCACTAACCGTTACAAAACCGTTGGTGAACCGTTATTATATATAACATATAAGACTTGTATATTACACTAATTTAAGAATGAAATTATCATTGACCATAAACAAGTTCAAATTCATATCATCACGAAAATATCTAATAAATCATTCCAATCATCTCACAAAAGAAATCACATTTTTAATTTAAATTAAAAATTACGGTTCTAATTGGTAGTAGACAATGTAAAATGACAATAAGGTTGAGGAAGCATATATAAAATTAATAATTATGATTTGATGGTCTTAGTTTATGTTAAAATATATTTTTTTAAAATCGTGAACTAGTGGACCAGTTAAACCGTGAAAAACCGTTTGGTCCATCAATAACCGTTCAAACAATGAATCGAACCGTTATCGTAACTGGTTTGACGGTTCTACTGGCCCGGCCGTTAATCCAGTTCGGTTGGGAAAAAACCCCAGAAATTATAGCCCGGGTGCTGTTTCTATTTTGCAGATCGGGCTGAAAACCGTTACGTCGAAATAGGATGAGCAGCGCTGGTAGCATTGATGATCTCTCCGTCAGGATTTTTCCCCCTGACGGCTACGTTTTCCAGATCGAATATGACGCCGAGGCCCTCCAAAACAACGGGTACATCCCCTTTCCCTTTTCTCTCAGTTTGTTTGTTTTCTGAGAATTCTGAAGGAAACAGAACATAGGTGGGGTGGGTGGAGAAACCAGTGAGCTCTCCCGTTCTTCCTTCTCCGTATCTTCATATCCCAATCTTTGCTCTCTCAGTCTAGCATTAGGGTCTTTTGCTTCCGGATTTTGGGTTTGTTCTTTGACGAAATAATTTTTTGTTCCACTGCGTAGGTCTGTTGTGGGGATCAAGTGCAAAGATGGCATTGTTATGGTATAAGTGCACTTCTTTCACTTCTCTTTTGGCTGTCTCTTTTTGTAGTTGTTCAATTTTTGTGGTTTTCGTCAAGTTGATTTCACTGATTTGGTGGGTATTTACTGTTTTGTCTATGCTGTTTCAAATTTAGGGCGTGGAGAAGTTGAAAGCTAGCAAGATGATGCTAAGCGATTCCGTTCATAGGCGTACTGTCATGGTACTCTTCTTCAATCCCTCTCACTTTCACTTTCATCTGGTTGCTTTTATCAAGTGTCGGGAACTCAAATCATAAAGTTGATTTTCTCGGGCACGTTGGTCTGTCATCTACTGGGCTCACTCTGAAGTTTTTGGTAGTGTCCCAATGAACTTGATATTTTGCTAGGTTGAGTGTTGATCAATAGTGTGCTACTGGGGTTCATCGGTGTAACGAAACATAGTAGGTTGCTTCATTTCTGTCCTCTGACCAGTTGTAGTTTATCCATCATATAAAATAAAATTCGGGCATCCTTGGTGAGCAGTGTTTGGAACCATTAGGAATCACTTCAACTTCAATCAGGAGTGAGAGTGGCTGTCTTATTGTGATATTAGTGGAGTTGTGGAATTGTAGTTAAAAGGTGCATTGTTCAGTCAGTACATTGTCGGTTCGTAGTCATATGTAGAAGGTAATGGCTTTCTCCTCGGGACTGCACTATGTGAAGTAGCCCATCTGTTCTTTAATGCTCAATTTGAAAACTTCAATTCGATTTTGCCATTTTTGCTAGTGTCTGTTTGGGCATGCTTGTCCTTTGACATTTTCTGCTCAATATCAGGCTGTAGCTGGCTTAGGTGCTGATGGTGCACGAATTTTTGCACGAGCAAAGTCGGAGGCAGCCAAATATGAGAAGTTTGTTATTCTCTCCTGTCTTCTGGTTCCAAATGCTGCTTTTATTATCCTATCTACTTTGTTGCTAAAAGTGGAATGCAAAGTGTGATACAACTGTTTCTTGTTCGAGAGTTATTCTCATTCCTTCTAAGTAATATATGTTATCATCTAAATGATACAACCGATTCCTTTCATCTAAATGATATATTTATCATCTAAATGCATGTTATGCTTGTTATTCTGTCAATGCTGACTTCTTAAACTTATGAGTGCTTGCTAAGGATGTGGCCACTCTGTTGTCGTGCTGCAGTATGTTCAGTGAACCAATACCTGTGAAAGAACTCGTTGAACGTGTTGCTAGCTATGTGCACTTGTATACCCTCCATTGGTTGTGTAGGTAAGTACTGATCCTTCGGTTCTGCATATATGGAGTTATAGACACACTTCGTGTCCTTGTGCGTAGTTTAGCTGGAAGTGGTTGATAGGAAAAGGCAAGGGAACGTGTTCTGATTTATTTTTACATTGCAGGCCCTTTGGGTGTGGTGTTATTCTTGGTGGTTATTATGGAGACGAACCAGAGTTATACATGATTGAACCATCTGGAATATCTTATGTAAGTTAACTTTTCTTACTTGAGATGGAATTGCTTTCCTTACAACTTTTTGATAAAGCTTCTCTGTTGAAATCACTGGGATTCCATAAGTTCTTCCTGCTGAAAGTATTTCCGTGATTCTGTGTCTTTTTGCGTTGTGTCTATGTACTCTCAAAACTCAATATCTTGCTTCAATAATTGCTATGTAGAGGTATTATGGCGCTGCGATTGGAAAAGGCAAGCAAGCTGCTAAAACGTAAGTCTATACTTGTGCATTTTAACTAATGAGATGGTGTCAAATGATAGTAGTGCATCGTTTTTGCTTATTACAACAACTCTAAACGTCCTTGACATAATGGTTGCATCGTGCATCGTGTTTCCCCGCCCAATGATGCAATTGATGGTGTAGACATATTGAGAAGTTGAAGCTTTCAGACATGACATGTCGTGAAGGAGTTTTGGAAGTAGCCAAAATGTGAGTGCTTCTGCTTTGTATTCTCTTAGTGTACATCCTTAAGGCGGCGTGAAATCGTGTGAGGAACACAGCTGTTGGAAACTAGAATTAGGGATGAGAATTAGAAGAATTAGGGTTGAGAATTGGGAATTTAGGGTTGGGAATTGGGAATAGAAGAGAGATTAGGGATTTGATAGTTCTGATATTATTATTCATACGTAAAACAGTGCACAACCAATGATTAAATAGTTCTCTCTCTAATTAATAACAATGACCCAAATACCCCTCCCCTAGGCCTTAGCCGTGCCGCTCACACTCCCTTCCCCTTCGGAACCGAGCTTGTCCTCAAGATCGAATGTAGGGTAGTTCTGCCGAATGGTCTCAGTATCCTCCCAGGTTGCCTCTTCCGGTCCGAGGTGCTTCCACTGGATCAGGCTCTCCGTCACGTGCCTCCTACCCTGCTTTACCCAGCGGACATCGAGGACCGCTTCTGGCTCGAGCTCAAGACACCCTTCCCCATCAACTGGCGGCTCCGGTGGTGTTGCCGGCTGTTCGGCCCCCCTGTACCTGCGCAAGAGAGAGACATGAAATGTAGAATGAATCCGGGCCGACGCCGGCAGCTGCAGGCGATAGGCCACTGCTCCAATCCGCTCGAGCACCTGATAGGGACCAAAATAGCGGGCTGCAAGCTTCTGGTATGCACGCCGGAACACCGAAGTCTGCCTGTAAGGGTGTAGCCTGAGCAGTACCCAGTCCCCCACCGCGAATTCCTCATCTCGGCGTCCCAAATCGGCCTGCTGCTTCATCCGATTGTTGGACGCAGCCAAGTTGGCCTTCAGTTGCTTCAGGGCTGTGTCTCGTTCGGCCAACCACCGGTCCACTGCGTCCACTGCACTCGCCCCGGACTGGTACCGCACCAGCATAGGGGGTGTCCTCCCATACAATGCCTCAAATGGCGACATCTGGATCGAACGATGATAGGTGGTATTATACCACAACTCAGCCCATGGCAGCATAGCCAGCCAACGGCGCGGCTGCTGATGTGCAAAACATCGTAGATACTGCTCAAGTATCTTATTAACGGCTTCCGTCTGTCCGTCAGTCTGTGGGTGATACGCCGAACTCATCTTCAGCTCTGTCTTCGCCATCGCGAACACCTCCTGCCAGAACCTGCCCAAGAAAAGTGCATCCCGATCACTCACAATCGACCGGGGAAACCCATGGTGTCGAATCACCCCCCAAACGAACTGCTCTGCTACACTCCTGGCCGTATACGGGTGCGCTAGCGCCATGAAATGCGCATATTTCGTGAGCCGATCAACCACCACAAATAGAACGGTCTTCCCTCCGGATGGTGGCAGCCCCACTATGAAGTCCATGCTAATGTCCTCCCAGACCCGTTCCGGTACCGGTAACGGCTGTAATAAGCCTGCCGGTCGTAGCAAGGAAGCCTTGACCCTCTGGCAGGTATCGCAGGAGGCCACATACTCCTGAACCTCGCGACTCATCTGCGGCCAGTAGAACTGACTGCGAATCTTCCTCAGCGTCCGCTCGTGCCCAGAGTGCCCCCCCACCGGAGAGTCATGGAACTCCTTCATCACCGTCGCTGTCAGAGAAGTGGACGCCGGTAGAACCACCCGCCCTTTGAAGTATACCAGTCCATGGCGGAACGAGTAGTCACCCGGAGTCACGCTCAAAGCAACGTCGCGCCTCTCCCTCAGGTATGGGCTCGTCTCTACTGCCTTCCTAACCTCGTCCCAGAACTGAATCACTGGTCCGGTCACAGCTGCCACCTGCGGCTCAAGCTCTACCCGTGACAAGGCATCCGCAGCCTTATTCATCGGCCCCGGGCGGTAGTGCAGCTCATAATCATATCCCATCAACTTCACCACCCATTTGTGCTGATCTGGAGTGGAAACCCGCTGATCCATTAGATGCTTCAAACTCTGGTGATCGGTATAGATACGAATCTTCTGGCCGATCAAGTAAGGACGCCACATCTATACCGCCTCTGTGATAGCATGCATCTCCTTCTGGTATGTTGACCAAGCCTCCTTGGAGGGAGGAAGGGTCCTACTCATAAAAGCAATGGGATGCTTTTCCTGTGACAGCACCGCACCAATTCCTCTGCCCGACGCGTCTGTCTCGATGTCGAACGGCTGTGAAAAATCTGGTAGTGCCAAGACTGGGGTGGTGGAGAGAGCCACCTTGAGGGCCTCGAATGCCTGCTCGGCCTCTGGGGTCCAACTGAACCCTCCTTTCTTCAACAGTGCATTCAGCGGTCCCGCAATCGAGCTATACCCCTGCACAAAACGCCGATAATACCCGGTCAAGCCCAGGAAGCCTCTCAAGGCCGTCGCACTCCTCGGCACGGGCCAGTCCATCATAGACTGAATTTTTCGCGGATCCACTCGAACTCCCTCTCCTGATATAACATGCCCCAGATAATCCACCTCCTGTACTCCGAATGCACACTTGGATTCCTTGACAAAGAACTGATTCTCCTGCAATATCTTGAACACCTCCTGCAGCTGCTGCAGGTGTTCCTCCCACGATTTACTGAAAACCAAGATGTCATCAAAGAATACCAGCACTGACCTGCGTAAGAGAGGTCGAAAAATGTCATTCATGGCTGCCTGGAAGGTCGAGGGCGCATTGCAGAGCCCGAAAGGCATCACGAGATACTCGTAATGGCCACTGTGCGTCCGGAATGCAGTCTTCGGAATATCTTCCTCATGCATGCGTATCTGATGATAACCAGCTCGTAGGTCGAGCTTCGTGAAATACTTCGCCCCTCGCAACTCATCTAGCATATCATCAACAGTCGGAATCGGAAATCGATCTCGAACCGTTACGGCATTGAAGGCCCTGTAGTCTGTACAGAACCTCCAAGTACCGTCCTTCTTCTTAACCAGCAACACCGGGGATGAAAACGGACTGGAGCTCGCCTGAATCAACCCTGCGGTCATCATCTCGGCCACCTGGCGCTCTACCTCCTCCTTCTGAGCGTGTGCATACCTGTACGGTTGAACGTTAACCGCCTCCGTGCCTCCCTTGAGTCTAATCCGATGGTCAACCTGCCGTCTCGGGGGTAGCTGGGTAGGCGGAGCAAACAGACCAGCGTATCGGTCTATCAACAACTGCAGGTCCGGAGCTCGAGCCTGTCCTTCAGCGTGATCCATCGGCCAGCAAAGGATAGCCAACTCCAAGTCCTCCTCGAGCTGCGGGTCACCCCACTCGATGGGTCCGGTCGCTGTTGTCATCCCCCGCAGCTCCCAGTCCTTATCCCTCCATTTAAACTTCATCACCATCTCGACCCAGTCACTCGTCACTGGTCCCAGACTCTTGAGCCATGGCATGCCCAAAATCAGGTCGAACCCGTGCAACGGCAGTATATATAGGTCAAGAGTGATTACCAGCCCTTGAATCACTACGGGCACCTCTACTAGCTTCTCTGCACACCGTAGTGGAGTCCCATTGGCCACCTTCACATCGAAGGACTCAATGGCTGACCTCGGCAACGGCAGTCGCTTCACGAACTCTGCACTGACGAAATTGAGAGAAGCCCCACTGTCGACAAGGGCCACTCCCCATTCCCCCAAGACCCGTGCCTTGAACCGCATTGTCGCCGATCCCGCCGTCTCGACCGCCGCGACTGCCGAGATCGTCTCCCCCTTCATCTCCTCCTCGCACGCGGCCCGATCCCCGCGGCCCTCGCTCGCGTCGGCTGCAGCAGTCGAAACACCAGCGCCCTCCAGCTCCCTTGCCGCGGCCGCCGCCTTCGCCTCTGCCCTCTCCGTCGCGGTCGCGATCAAGGGTATGCTACCCTCGGCCAGCGCCCGCGCCTCGCCGATCGCCGCCCGCAGCTCCTCCTCGCGCGCCAGCCGCGCCAACACTCCCCGCAAGCGATCGGTGGTCGCCTCGCCCCGGTCCCCTTCAGAATTCCTTGCTGAACTCATGCCGACCACTGCTCTGATACCAATTGTGAGGAACACAGCTGTTGGAAACTAGAATTAGGGATGAGAATTAGAAGAATTAGGGTTGAGAATTGGGAATTTAGGGTTGGGAATTGGGAATAGAAGAGAGATTAGGGATTTGATAGTTCTGATATTATTATTCATACGTAAAACAGTGCACAACCAATGATTAAATAGTTCTCTCTCTAATTAATAACAATGACCCAAATACCCCTCCCCTAGGCCTTAGCCGTGCCGCTCACAAATCGTTTACTAACGACTTAGAGTCTCAATACATTCTCTTGTTTCCAGCCTCAATGAATCTTGTTTTCTGATATGGTTTTGGGTCCAATACGTTCTTTTGATTGTTGCCTTGTCTTCTGGCACTTGCAATTTTCCTTTAGGTATGCTTCTTATCTGAAAAGGTGAAAATTAATTATGTTATTTAATGATGTTGTGCAGCATTTACAAGGTACATGATGAAGCAAAGGATAAGGGGTTCGAACTTGAACTGAGCTGGGTCTGTAACGAGTCAGAGAGAATATATCAAAAGGTATTTATGCACTCTAATTTTTGCAAAGGTTGTTGTTCTCTTCAATTTTGACTTGTGAAAAAACGTTAGAGACTAAATTGCTTGATCACCCACTAATTTGGAAACAGAAATGAGTGTGCTTGAAAATTTTGTTTCCTTCTAACGAAGAAAGAAAGTTTGTTCCCAAAAAAAAAAAAAAAAAAACAAGCGTGCATGTCTATGAGTTATTGCTAGTAACATGAACATAAATGGGGTATGTTTGTTTCAACCTAAACATTGAGGAACACAAACTTAAGTGTAATGGATCAAAAGTTTATGGGAAAAGATAAACGAGCCGTTTATAAAATGATAATTTATTAATATTAGTCAATCATATGACAATATTGAAAGTAAAGAGGAAAATAAGAGCATGCTCAATACAATTGCAAAACTAGTTTCATATTATTTTTATATTATCATTTCAAACTTTATGATGAAATACGCGAAACCCGCCAATGCTTTCAACTTTTCTGACCAATTCTTGCTGCTGGGCACTCATTTTTTAAGTTCCCATATGGCCAAAAGAAACTTTAAAAGCGAACAACGAAATGAAAGAAAGACCAATAGTGATAGAAAGCAGAGGAGGGGGAGGATTAGAATCTAGAAGCAACAGAGTAGCATTTGTAGAGCAAGGGAAGAAGGAAATTAGAACGTTTAAAAAATGAACAGATGTGCATTTTTTCGGGTTTCGGGTTCTTGTACCCACCCGAACCCAACAAATAGAATTCGGGGTTTTGGTTACCCGAAAACCGGAAGTTGGCTTCTCGGGTTCGGTTTCGGGTTTAGACAAAGCGGGTTTCCGTTTTCGGGTTCATTAGTTTTCGGGTTTGGTTTACCCGACCCGACCTGAACCGACCGGCCTATTTGTATATGGGTGGGCAAAGAAATTAAATACTGCTCAAATAATGACGAGGGGACGAAGGGGATGAAGGTCGGGTCGACGGCAACGACAAGGAAAGGAGGCGAAGGTCGGATCGACGACAAGGACAAGTCCAGAGTGGACGAGATGAGGCTATCTGCGGTGGTGAGAATGAGAGTGAGGCGGCTGGGAGAAGATGAGAAATGGGAAGGGTTTGGGGTGCATTTTTGTCGTCCAAATAACAGTTGGTCCAATAAATTGATAAAATGGGCGGTTGGGGGATTTGATAGTCAGACCTCATTAATGAGAAAGGGAGAAACCAATCCCTTTCCATTCCATGAAGCAGAAAAATTGTGAAAAATTGTGTTTCTGGAAATTGCCAATGTTTTCTACTATTTGATTCCACAAATGAAAGGTAATAGAATGGGAATGAAAAATAAACGCTACTTTTTGTTTTCATTTCTAAACTAGGCGGAGATGACATATGGACATGTATTATGTGGTCCGTTATAGTGTTTTGTTAGTATTATTAGTCTAAAAAAATATTGACTGAGAAATATGACGGTCAACATCCTTTTTTTTGTTGAAAAATTTGGCTAATAAATTATGTTTACCTAAACCCAAATAGACCCATTGATTATGGGGAGGGTATGAGTGGCGTATATATGAGTTTGAAAGTTAGTAGATGTGTTTGCGTAGGTAATCTAAATGTGTATGAGTTGGGTATGAATACCCATTTATTCGAGGGTGTTTTAATTACACATACAAAAATTAGACCTATTTATAGAACTTCAAAAGTTTAGGTACCACAAAATGTAATACACAAAAATCATAGGTAGTAAAAGGTAATGTCCCATCAATATTTTGAGGACTATATGCCATAAAAATAAATTTATTAGGTTATAAATCTAAAGATCTATTATGATTAGGTACTGAACTGTAATTTGTATAGTTGAGGCTTAATTCCTTTTATGTGATGTATTTAAGATGATAATTTTTTATAAACAATAGAGACTGTTTAGTACCCCGTAAATGTACTAATTGAGTTTGTAAATTCGCTTTTGCAATATTTTAGAGTCGTCTCTCTTTTATCATTTATCTTATGTTTCACATAATGAGCAAATATAAAATGGTCGAATCTTCTCCTATTCTTGAGTGATTCAGTATATTGTATGGTACAAACTAAATTTATACTTTTATGTTATTGTGAATTGAATTCATGGATTGGTTCACAATGATTGGTGGATTGAATTCAAGAATTCAAGTGAAATCTAAATATTGGACCAATATGTAAATTTAAAAAATTGTAGGTACGAAAATTTCATAAAGTTTAGATACCAAAACATAATTTTTCAATGATTTTACATTAGAATTAAATTTCGGTATCAAAATGTAAAATGTACATTATAGTGACTAAGTTGTAATTTAATTAAATTTAGAGTATCAAAATATAAAAGGTAAGAAAAAGTTAGGTTTAATATATATAAAGAAGAAATGAGGTACTAAATTGTAATTTATTAGACAATAATACCCTCCCTTCTTCTTTATATATATTAATATATGAAATGGAATGAGAAAACAGGAATATGAATGGTTACTAAACAGGGCTAAGAGTCAAACTGTCGCTTTCTCTCCATTTTGGAAATTGAATTTTCCATGCCCAATTTCCCTCCACTCCCTTTTCCACCCTTGTAGAACAAAGGGTAACTGAAGACGATCGTAATAAACAGTAACTCGAGATTGCTAGGTTAGAAAAGAAAGGCATGTTGTATTTGTGTGTGTATTTGTTAATGGTTAACTTGCTACACAGATTCCCGATGAACTTCTAGAGGAGGCCAAGTCTGCTGCAAGACTCCCTTCAAGAAAGACGTTGATTACCAAGCGACCCGTTGAGTTGCCCTTTTACTAGAGAAACCATGGTGAAATCTGGACAATGACAATGTGGGCGCTCTGTGACTGACATGTCAGATCAACAAATGTACTATTTCGTCCGCACCAGACATACTATTTATTTTTCAGTTTGTAAACATCAATTTTTGGGGAATTTTGTGAAAAAAGTAAAAAACCCTTAATTTTTTCTGGATGAAAAAAATCCTCTTAATTTTTTTTCTTGATATGAATGATACACATTGTTTAGGTAATTTGATGTGTGGAAAGAGATTCACAACACATGTGATATTCATATAACACATTTCACATATTCATACAATACACTTGAAATATTCATGTTGGATATATTTTACACATTGTGAATACTTTTATTGATACATGTAAATACTCTTAAAACGTGTTGTGTATACATTTATTGTGTTATGTGAATATTTATGTTGCTTATTAAAATTCATAGTAATAGGAGAAAATCATATTTGTAGCACTATAAAATCATATATAATGGTTGTAATTTGGGAAGGAGAGATCTAAGGGTACAGAGAAATAGGGGATTTGGAGATGAGCTGATTGGATTTTTGGTGGGCTGGCGAATCTCTTGTCGACAGTGAATGCACTCATCTAATCTTCTACGAGACTCCTGGTCTCTGCTAGCTATCTCCTGTAGGAATCCAACTACAGAAGCTGTCATGAAGCTACTTCAACAGATGATATATCATTCCTTTTACATTGAATCTCAATAATTTTGTGTACACATATAAGGTTTTTTTTGTTCTCCGCAAGAACTATACATCTTTTATATTTTTTTATCAAAAAAAATTTCACGTCATATTATCACTGTCATATCACGATATTATCACTAAAAGTGGAACGATATCATAGTGGTAGGGTGGTAATCGGTTATTCGGTTAACGGTTTAGTTGTTTACCAAATTGATAATTGGCAGTTATCGAGTAAACCATTAACCGATGCTATTAGTATGCGGTAGCAAAAATTCATATTTCAGTGTACAAACTTCTACCCGGTTAGTAACCGACAATTACTCAGTATACCAGATAATCGACTATCAAAAGTTTTTGAGAAGATGAGCTCACCATTTTGCCCTGTGGCTCCTTTTTGTTCATTTCCCTTCAATCAAAAACCTCAATTTTTGGCCCCATCAATCAGACGAGCACACAATGGACAAGTCGTGTGGTGTGGATGAAAATCCAACAATGACGGTAGAGTGAGCAAACAAAGGTTTTGCAATGGTCGACATAGGGACGACCCTAGGCACGCATTGATGGTCGAAGATGGGGGAAATGATGATAGTGTGGAATGGTTGTGGCTAGGGCTGCAAATGAGCCAAGCCGCTCGTGAGCAACTCAGCGTTCGAATCGGGAAAAACTCGTTCGACATTCGGCTCGTTATTAAACAAGCCGGCTCGCGAGCCAATTCGTAAGTAAACGAGCCAAACTTGAGCTAGATCACGCTAGACTGCAAACACTCGGCTTGTTGAGCTAAGCTCGCGAGTTGGCTTGTTTAGAGCTAGTGGAAGGATTAATTACTCTTTTAAACATGAACATTATCTTGTTAATACGGATATGCATGAAAGTTAGCTATAATTTGTAGTTTCTAGTGTTCTTTTTATCATTTAAACTCGTATGTGTACACATTTTTCAACAATAATGATTTCAAATCGAGCTCATCTAGAGTCGAGCTTGTACTAAGCTTGACAAGCTGTGTTAATGAGCATTTATCGAGCTTTATCGAGTCGAGGTCGAGCTAAGCAAAAACTCGATCTGAATTTTTATAAACGAGCCAAGCTCAGGCTAAGCAAAAAAAGACTCGACTCGGCTCGTTTGCAACCCTAGTTGTGGCAAAACATTTCTCTGCATTGAGGTTTTTTTTTTACAATACTCTGCATTGAGGTTCAATGTTAAGAAAATAGCCCCTTTCCAAATATTGACCTAAAGTCGTGAGTATGGTCATGTGACAAGACCACTTTCGCACGAAAGGGCTGCAACAACTCATTCTTTTGAAGCTAGGGTACAAACCATAAAGTTAGGGTCGACCAAATTTAGTGTCTTTAAGTTAGAAAAAAAACAAGGGTTGCCTCCCACGCAGTGTCTCTCTTTAATGCCTTTGAGCTAGGCTTCGCTAGTGCCCCTTTTCTGTTGATTAGACTAGTACAGGTCTAAGGGCATTTCCCAAAGTGATCTCCTCGAACTCTCGCTTGCTATTCGGAGATAGCGAGTTCCCCTCATCGTGTTCTCTAGCTTGGAAGTCAATCTCCTTTTCCATATCGTTTGGAAGTGTCGAGTCGACACTTTCCCCATATTCGGACATAGGAGTTTCCGAGGAGTCACAATCAGATTCTACAATGGTAGATCTCAATTGTTTATCATGTTCCTTCTTCTTTTCTTCCGGAGTAATCATTTGGATAATATGGTCCACATTGTCAATTCTATTTGTAAGGTGATGCTCGTGAACGTCGATTAATGTGTTGGAACCGGCTAAGAAGGGTTTGATTCAGGATAGTTACACACTTTTATACCACTTAACTTGTGTCATTTGACTTGGTTTGCACCGTCCTTTGAGCTATTTTACACTAGGTTTGTTCGTGTTGTGTCATGTTTCATACCTTAGCAGGTATTTTATCTCTTGGATCGAAAGTTAGACAAATGAGGGTGAAAGGGAGCAAAATGGATAAAAGTTCTAGAATCACTGTTTTGGAGCAATTGTCACGGCTTGCGGATCGGTAAGTGACAAGCAAATTGTTAAGTCTGTACACTTTTAGGAGATTTTGTATGGTTTGCGGGCATTGCAAGGATCACGATCTCCAAACCGTCAAGTCTACAAGCAACTCGTGAAGTATGTTAGTGAAATGGCGCATTTTGTGCCAAAATCATGGTTTCACTACCTATTTCACGGGTGTCAAGTGAGACCGTAATGTGAGCCGTCAGGAGCTATATAAAGGAGAGTGAGCTGAATGGAAAAGGGAGAGAGTTCTTGCGAGAGTGAATGGTTTTTCTTCAAGCATATAGAGAGAAAGCTTCACACAAGGAAGGACAAGGAAGGGAAGATGATGTGCCTAAACTGGTCTAATTGAAAATAAACTAGCTAGTGTTGCTAGAAATTGAAAAGAATTGGAAAATTTAGGGTTTTGGGTAGGTTAGGAAGAACCGACACACCAGCCGGTGATAAGGTTCGAGGCAAGGCACCACAACCAAGTAGTTGATAAGCCTAAGAAATGACAAGGAAATATTTCTTGCAATTCTTGAAAACTCTTATTGAAATCTGAATACTAAATGAATAAAACTGAACTACTAGCCTCTCTATTATATAGCCGGAGGGGAGAGGCAACGGGGGAGGGGAGAGTGGCTGGCGGCGGGGAGAGGCAGCGGGGGACAGGAGATGGCTGGCGCCGATTGGAGGCGGCGGGGAGAGTCGTCGGGGAGGTAGATGTAAGGGAAAGGGAAAGGGCGGGTGGGTGGGTTTTAGGGTTTAGGTTAAATTGAGGGTATAATTGTCTGTTTGGGTAGTTTAGAGCGTCAAATAGCAATTCAGTAGGAGAATGGGGAAGAAAGATGATGTCCGGTGAAGGTCTCATTTATTATTATTATTATTATTATTTTAAAAATTATGAGATAAGTATTATTATTTATTTAATGGCATTAAATATCTGACAAATTATGTTTAGGTGATAAGTTTACATGTAATTTCGTTAACTTTAACGAAAAGTCGCTATTATTTTAAATTTTTCTTAAAGATTGTGAATAATATTTTGTATTTGTGCAATTACTAATTATTAGCCAAATTTTTTGTAACACATCATAATATTAGCCAGTTTTTTTAAATACTAAAGTTTTGAAAAGTTGATATCTTGCAAATCAAAGGCTTGATGTAGATTTTAAAAGGCAAAATACACTTGTATAGCCATAACTTTCACGTTTGTGACAAATATAGCCATAATTATTCGAAAACCAAAAATAGCCAATTCCGTCCATCTCTTTAACAGTGTTACTAAACAATCTGACTGTACTGACGGAATATGCTGAGTTGGCGATTTATGGTCCCCACCAAGCCGATGTGGACTAATAATAAAAATTAAAATAGAAAAATCATTATTTATCTCATTATTTAGCTTTAAAAAAAAAATTTGCAACCTTATATGGCCCCACCCACCGCCCATCTTCCTCCCATCTTCCTCCTACTGAATCTTCCCCAATTCAAACTCCTCCCTAACTTCCTCCCATCTTTCTCCTACTGAATCTTCCCCACCCACCGCCCATCTTCCTCCTACTGAATCTTCCCCCAATTCCTTCCCCCATTTATTCCCCCTTTATAAACGACTACTCCGAATTCGGCAGTGATGATAGCTACCACCTAAAGACCCAACCCAAGAACGATTCCGACCTCCGCTCCGCCACCTACGAGATCTTCCTCGCCCTCACCCGCACTTCCTCCGCCAAGCCCCTCTCCACCGCAGCCGCCACCAACCCACATAACCACCACCATTTGCCTCACTCCCCCAACTCCAGCTCCAACTCCAACTCTTCTCCGTCACTGCCGTGGTCCAAGAAGAGCCCCGGGTCTGGCTCTGGTCAGGGCAAGTCGAAGAAGCCATTGACGGTCGGCGAGCTGATGAGGATTCAAATGCGGGTGTCGGAGGCCAACGATTCGAGGGTTCGGAGAGCTCTTCCGCGGATTTCCACTGGTCAGGTCAGCTTTTTGTTTTTCAATTTCGGGGTAGATCTATGTTTGACTTGAGTTCTCGCTACAATTTTTCTCCATTTCTGGATTCTGAATTGGCCACCGTCGTCGTGGCAATGCGAATTGGACAGGTTGGCCGGCGAATCGAGACGGTGGTGCTACCGCTGGAGAGGTGGTTGGGAGAGGAGAGGGAAAGGAGGAGGAAGAGGAAGCGAAGAGAGAGATGATTGGAGGAGGAGAGGGAAAGGGATTTGGGCAGAAGATTGTTGCGGGGGAGGAGAGCTAGGAATTTCTTTTTTTTTAATAATTTCAAAATTAATTATTATTGTAATTCTAAATGACATGGGAATGATTTGATGACTGGTCGCTGACGTGTCCTACGATTTGGCATCCTAGTCAGTCTAACGTTAATCTAACTGACGGAGTTTCTAACAGCGTTAAAGTTTCTAACGGATTTGGCTAGATTTGTCACATTACCCTCAGTTTTTTGGGCTATTTTTGGTTTTCGAATAGTTATGGCTATATTTGTCACAAACGTGAAAGTTAAGGCTATACAAGTGTATTTTGCCATTTTAAAATGGAAAAA